CTCTCTCTCTCTCTCTCTCTCTCTCTCTCTCTCTCCCACACACTTATGCATTAATATAAAAGTTCAAGTAATTATATTTTGTGAAATAATATAACCCAAAATACCCAGTATAAAGCATAATGCCAAAATTATGATATTCCAGACAAAACTACAGACAGTTGTCGTCAACAAAGATTTATAAAGAAAGTGGCCCTCAAAACAGGGAGAAAACATAGCAACGAGTCCCGTCACCATTGATATTACAAAAGCCGTGGCCAACACTACTGTCAATGTATGGGTAGAGTTATCCTCCTTTTTATGTGAAATATCATCAAATTTAATTTTATTAAAATATGAATTGTTTTATATACTATACAGCGTATAGCAATAATATTGAAGGGAATGCATACGTGATTATGTGTTGCCTCCAACAGTAATGACAGCCAAAAGAGGGATTCAAAGAGTTTGACAAATGCAGACACGGCTGACAAAATCCTTAACGCGTGGGACCGGCGGCTGTGATGTCTGCTCAACCGATAACTGGCCCGGGATTGCGGATACAGATAACTGTACTGTTGGGATAAAGTGGGCCGAATTGTCGGCTTATACACTGTGGCCACCATTGACTTGTATGCATGCAAATGATTGATGGATAAAATAAACAATTTTTTAATAAAGTGAAATTAATATTGCACAAAAATTAATTAAATCAAAACATTTGCTAATAATATAAAACCTTTTTGCACTTTATCATTTAAATAACTTACATAATTACTGTATAATTAATAGTTTTGTTTATCTCTTGTGTTAATTAAAAATAAGCAAATAATTATAATATTATATTTATTGAAAAATATACAAATCAATGGAAAATTTATGTACAATAAATTCAATATTAAACCATGTATTGAATGTCTAGCATTGTAAAATAAATCGGGATAATTCAATACAGCATACACCATAAACAAAAACATCATGAATACTTATCGCTCAATTGATCATATCAATTAATTCTTGTAAAGATTAATTTTAGAATTAATCATTTGACAAAAATATGTGATTAAATGTGAAAATTATATTAATTTAATGCCACATACAATATAGCTATAATTGTAGAGAATATAATGGCTTATAATTGATGACAACCTTTGTACTTAACTTAACACAAGTATTGATTATCGCTATCTATTTCATTAAATCAAATGATTATTTGTTAAAGTAATCAACTCTTGTTTAAAAAACAGATAATATTATTAAATGTATGCTTAAATCGACTTTCAATTGAGACAACAATTGTCAACATAGAATATTGACAAAGTACTGTATTTGTGGTGTTTTGTTTAGAATGTATGAATAGTTTTAAACATTTCAATATGTTTATTATACTGTACAGTATTTTTTTACAGATTTACAATTGGCAATGTTATCCAATCAGCCAACTATTGTTGCTTCAAAAATCGTTATACCTTCTAAACGAAATGAGTAGAATGAAATCTGAAAAATGTCAAATAAAGTTCCATGTATCTAGTATTTGTGTACACAAAAATTATTGGAATCACATGATTAAAACATAGCAATTTTGGGACCAATGCTGAGGTCATTGTTGTAGTTTACCTGAAGGGGGATCGGAGGGTATGCTATTGTGTAGAGGAGATAAGCTGGCCAACCGTCCTCATTTTTGAGGACAGTCCTCATTTCGGAGTCTGTTGGCTACTGTCCTCAGAAGGGATTAATGAGGACTATTCATTGTCCTCAATTTTTATATTGACAAACTAACACTTAAATAGCGTTAAATTGTAACAAAAATTGTATGAGATTTTACTGAAAGATCGAGTTTATGCTAAAATATTTTATACAACATGCATCACATAGAAAATACTATTATAGAATATAACATAAATTGCAATAAATTTAACTCGTTTGTTAAAATAAATAAAATTGAATAAATTCGATTAAACCAACATCAAAATATAACTGTGAATGCTAATTATTTATACAAGCGTATTTAACAGTGACCAATAAATAAATTTGTTAATAAAATAGTGTCCTCAATTTTGTCCTCTATAATTACTAAAAATGTCCTCATTTGTTCTCATTTGTTTTTATAATATTCTCATTTCCCGAGTTGGGAGTTGGTCACCCTAAGAGGAGATGTCAATGTCTATGATAACTAAAGATTCCATTTTCCGGGAATTCCCGAATAAAATAGTTAACCAAATCATCGGGAATTATATACCATTAGATTTAGGGGGATCGGAGGGTATGCTATTGTGTAGAGAATCGTACCGTTTATTATACTAGTGCTCACATATACTCTGGTGAGCCGAGAGTTGTACGGATCCAATATATTTCAATCCCATTATGCCATTAACAACATGAATGGCAATCATAATAACGGCTATAGTATGGAGAGCCCAATGGCGCCCGAAGTGCATATCAGTAACACTACAACCACCACAACCATCACCACCAGTGCCACCGATAGCCACGAGTACGACACACACATTACCTCAGACTCATTAAACTGTCATTCAATAAGCGTTTCATACGATTGCAAAAGTGGTTTCATTAATGGTATTGTCAACACGTCTTCGGAGCCCAACAGCTGTTCCTCTAATAGGAAACTATTGATTGACACCGACTGTCACAAGAATGTGATTCGTATCAAGAAATTACGATTGGGGTAAACTTACCATCTATCATTAAGTTATTCATTAATAACAATTAATTAATATTTAGTTGCTCAATCAATTCTCCTATTTAGACATTTATTTTCTCACTAATCATTTTACTTATATCGCGAATTGATTGTATTAATAAAATAAAATCATAACTAAATGAACCAGATGAACCAGATGAACCAGATAGTCACTTTGGTATTAAAAATAATTTGTTTATTTTTTACATTTTAAATTGCAGTTTATAAATATAATAATTGTTATTTATAATACCCTTTTATATTATTTTCATTAATGTAAAGTGTTATGAAGTTATGAAATAGATTTATGAATTTTAAATAAAATTATAGAATTATGAAATAATTATAGTCTACTATACGATTTATTGCACATAAGTTAAAACTTTAAGATTTCTTTAACATTAAACTTTTATATTAAAATATTAATTATTTATAAATTACCAAAAATTCTGTTTAATATTCTATTTGCTTTAAACATTTATATATTGTTTGCAAATAATACAAAGTATTTTAACTAGTGAAATATGGCATTTACATTATATACAAATATTTATCATTTAATTCTTATTTTCATAAATTAATAATTACTTATTATATTATATTCCATTATGGTTTTATTTGAAATGATATGATTTCAACACCATTAGTATAAATAGAATAATATTGTGTTATTCCAATACAGATGTTGGTCTACACATTGTTTATACAAAGGATCTAATACTGTATCATTATTATTTCATAAGGTTAAGACTATTATATTTTATTATTTAAAATTGGTTTATTCAAAAAATCTGTATTGTTAATGTCAACGTTTTAGAAATTGTACAATAATTTGTTTTAAAAATAGATTTATTATTTATTATTATTTATTATAAATGATGTCAATTCATTTAAATGAATTGACCATGGAATTTAGAATTTAAATTATCTTTAGAATCACTCATGGTAATGTATGTGGGTTAATCGTGGGCCAATGGTTAAAGGCTAGTGAAATATATATTTCAATTACCAATGGTACTTATTTTTTATGATTATTTATTTGATAAATTACAATATTTTATGCGTGTTCGGAGTGATTAATTGAATTTTAAAATATTATAGAATATTAAATTGAATATTCTACATAATTTCATTTTATAATATATTTTATTTCTTCTAGATATTTGTGTATTTATAAGTGTAGTCATAAAAAGTAATGTTATTTTAATTATTAAACAGAAATACTCGTCGAGTTTCCACACAATTGAATACTAAAAAGCGAGTCATAAGAATGCTATGCGTTCTGGTGTTGGAGTTTTTTATATGTTGGACACCTGTGTATGTAATCAACATATGGGCACTCTATTGGCCCAAACAAGTAATTATAAAATGAAAATTGCTTTTTAATTTATTATGTCTTAACTTTATTATAAATAAAATTTTAGATCTATTCAACTTTGAGCCCAACAATTATATCATACATACATTTGTTATCATACCTGAGTTCGTGTACCAATTCTATCACGTATTGCTTTATGCATAAAAAATTCCGAGAGGTATGTATTCGTAAAGACAATTGCTTTAAATTTTATTCTTACTTTAAAAGCATGTTTTTGTCAATAAGTAGCTATACTTTCGATGTAAATCTAAGATTATCTGTGATTATTTGTCTGTCATTTCTAAGAATCGTATGGCTATTATTTGCTTAAAATTTAATGTAATCCTTTTACTGTCTATATTTATGACTAACAATTTTGTGCCAATTTATTATTATTATAAATTTATTATAGATATTGTTTCAACTCTAAGTTTTAAAATTACTTTAAAAAGATAAATCCTCTCTTGATTAATTGAATTTTAAATTGTATATTTGTGTTGAATTATAACATATTTTATTGAAAGAACATGATACATTTAATAAATAACTTCTGTAATACTTTAATGCTTGACATGAATAAAATATAAGATCTTAGTTTATTATATAAAGTTTATATAAAGTTTATATAATAATAAATAGAGCACATATTGTATCGTGCTCTTTTAATGAAATATGTTTTAATTCAATGTTATATTTATTATCATAAAAACTATATATTTTATTCATGTCATATATATTTTGTTCATGTTTATACTGAGTACTGTATATAGAGTCACAGAAGTTATACTGTGTATTAATACAAGTATTCTTTAACCACAATTCAGCTAAGAATAATGTGGTTAATAGAATCGTTCGGCTGCACCTCCCTTCCGTCCCCGTTCTATGGGATTTAACATGGGATTACAGCTTATGTCTATGGCTATACTTTAACACGGGGCTAATGTTAAAGTCCTATGGGTAATGTTTATCCTATGGGCAATGTTAATCCTATGGAACTAATGTTAAGTCTATGGGACTAATGCTAAGCATATGGACAGTACTACTCTAAGGCTATAGGACTCATCTTAAATGTGTAGATAATGCTTATCGATTCATTAAGCATCACCCGAAAAGTGGTTAACGTATAGCATGGCTGCGTGAACCTTGTTTATATTTTTGAAATATTTGTATCAAAACAATCATGTATTGATTTCTTCAAACATTTAGCTAGTGGACAGTCTATACATATAATATTACTATAAAATGATTAGGGATATTCATCACGAGGGGGTATTTATTGTTTTAATTAATTGTTGTCAAACTCAAAGCCCTCATATGACCACTTTCTAAAATTATTGTCGAATCTATGTTTATAATAAATTATTTATAATTTAGTGGTATCTCATTTTATTTCTTAAATGTGGGAGGGGGGGTAAACGGGAAATACAGACGTAATTTTTTAAATGACTACATGCGAACAAATGAAGATGGGGTCTAGATTTCTTAAAAAGTGCAAACGTACTATGTGACTCACTCCTTATTTGAAAATAAATCCATAATCTTTTGAAACCATCTCTAATATTTGTGGATCTTTTTCAACTATAGGCGTTGCTAATGTTAATAAGACAACGTGGTACAAATCATAGATACGTGATCAGTGAGCTAGATCACTCAACCAGTAACCCATCACAGGCCACGCCAAGCACTGGTATTCTCACACAATCGCAAGTAATAATGACCAGTAATACCCGTTCGACCCGTATGTCTGCCAACTCGTTGGAATTGAATTCATTAGTACCAAACTGTGTACCAAAAAAGGCACAAAACAATTTGTTTGACAAGAATGATGATAAAAATGCTTACAAAAATTACAACTATCAAACAAAAATCGTATCCAAGTTTCATTTGAGAAATTCAAACATTTAATTTGCTATGTTAAAAAATGTTTTTATGTAAAAAATATTCTAATATTATTATGATTGATATTTTGGTAATATTAATGTTATTGTATCTTTATTTATGTAAAAAACAATAGAAATTTATTTAATTTTATACATTTATTTGATTAATGTAAAATAAGTAATAAATTATACTAAATTAATTATCGTAATGAACGGAAATTAAAATATAATCTTTTATCTTACTTTTTAAATATTTTATATGAATAATTAATAATTATATTTTAGGAAATGAATGATTGTATACATTAAAGCTGGGGATAGTTATTAAAAAGAATATTTGAATTTACATGAATTTAAATTTATGTTTTTTCAGCAATATTTGTTAAACTATATTTTCAATTCTATTATTAACAAAAATGTAAATTAAAATTTTAATTCAAGGACTATTGAAATTCTGGATTTTAGATTTAATCTCTCTCTCTCTCTTTCTAAATAATTTGCAAAATATGTTTAAAATAATTATAAGAAATACTATTTTGAGTTAATACTATATTTTGGCATTTAAAATATGTTAATTAAAATCAGTATTTATATCATATTTTTGCAAACATTCAAATAAACTTGTTAGTTCTATCATATATTAATAATGTATGGCTAACATTATTATGTATGAATTTAATATATACTGTAAGTATAGGTAGTGTAACACTTTTTAATGATTTTTCTTAAAATGTATGAATAAATAGCTAATAGTTTACTTAATGATTGTTTATAACAAGATTTTAATAGATGTCAATTTAATTTATTGTATTTTTAAACATGTATTTTAATAACAAATCATATGAATAAACTTATAATCATTGATATTACAATATTAATTTTATTAATATTTATGTAGTATATACAGTATTGTACAGAATTTTAGACATTTTTTGATTAAAACATAAAAATGTTGGGACTAATGGTCATTGTTCTAGCCTACCTGAAAGAGGGTCGGAGGGAGGTGAAAAATTAACCTTGTCTATGATTTCACAGGGTTGTACCTTTTTAACTGCAGCCTCTGGGACAATTTGTTATCATAGAAGTAATGTTACACTTGTAAGAGATTTTCCAATTTCTCAAAAATGGTTGCATGAATATAAGTTATCATTAAAGATTCCATTTTCCGGGAGTAAAAACGTCCAAATTCGGGAATAAAAAAGTCAAAATCGGGAAAATTCGGGAATTATGTATTTATTCAATTTTAAGACAATAATTATGCATTTAAATCATTTAGA